GCCGTCCTCCCTAGTACGCCACTTTGGACAAAAGCATATGCAAAAAAAAATTGTTAAATGTGCAACCCAAACGAGACAATATTAAAATGGTAATTAAACACGTGGATTAGATGATATGCGGAAAACATCAAGTTTAAATGGTTTGCACTTCAAAAGGAAAAAAAAAACCATTGTAACAGATGATACAGCTCCAGAGTGTTGCCACTTCTGGAGACTTCTCTCTGACTTAAATTGATTTGACTTTATATGTTTCGTGGCTGTGATAATTAGTGTACAGGAAACTGAAAGAGCAGTCAATGACGGAACGTATGTATATGTGTGCAATGGGGGGGGCTTCTTTGCCATGGAGATAGAACCTAATATAGACTGTAATCCAGTACATCTGTGAGCTCCCTGTGTTTGGTGTATGGACCGTATGCTTTTAATTACCGTAACAGCCCAAGAAGAACCTGTTCAGGGAGAATCACACATACGATCTGTTTTATTGCACTGGCCTGTAATTTAAAGTGTTTGGGTGCAGGCAGCCTGCCACTGGCCTGACAGCCTTGCGCCATTTACGACCTCTGCAGCTCCAGGTCAGGTCCCATGCAGCGAGGGCAAACGTTAGTCCTCTCCACCCTGACAGAAGTAATTGGCCACCAACGACACTATTAGAGTTAAGTGTACAATTCCGACGATCCCCCGCACGCACAGGCAACCACACGAAGTTGTCAAAAAGTATTGTACCAGAGCTAAAAATACCGCACAGCCTCGAACACATTTATGTGTTTTACATAGTTTATGGGTCTGACACAGACAGTGTGTGTTTCTGTTCTCATTACAGCCCTCCCCCCTCCCACTTTGCTCTCCTGCTGCCATGAGTAAACACATCGCAATGTGCAGCCTTCTCAGCGGCTAAACCTACAAGCTAAATGAATATTTCCCTTCTCCTGCTCCCCAGAAGGCAGCGTCCTTTGCGCACAGGACGGACAAACAGGGCAGGTTCCTTACTCTTCCACCAGGTGGGGTAATGTGCTAATGAAATGCGAGAGTCTGTAGGACATGCTTTTACCGTGCTTTACTTCTTTCTTCTGAAGTTTTCCCCTGAAGTTACCATATTTATTACCGGATGGCTGCTTCTGACGGTGCTATCAGAGTTCCTGCACGTTGAATGCAGCCACACTTATTGGACTCATGCCTATTTGTCTCTGCCTTAATCCTTATAGCACCAAATAGCTCCATTAATTGAATTAGCAATAAACAATAAACAGCCAACATAACTGAGCACAAAATGACAGCATTATCATTATATAATACAGTAACCTAATGCATGTGCTTTTATTTAAATAGCGGCTAATTTTATATGATTTTATGTTTAATTTATTCAATCTTTACAACTGCCTTTAAAATGTATATTTGATGAGGCATGTATTGATTTCGAAGTAATAGTTTCTAAATTGTTTTCTGGTATTATTTATTATTTAAATCTGATTGCCTTTAAATTAACATCACTCAATTAGTCAATAAATTGACATATTTTAAGGAGCTTAAAATACATTTCTCCCATTATCAGAAAACCTGAAAGAATGCATACTTTTTTGGTAAGATGATATCAGTTAAGATGGGATGAAAGAATGATCTATCATCAGCTTCTACCAGTCACAATACAGTTACATGCTTTGTTCCTGAAAATGGCTAGTAATGGGCTTGATGCCCAAAACACAGAACTGCCCAGTCCAACTGGCATGAGTTTTCTACCATTTAAATAGCAGCTTTTTATCAGTCTTGTGCCATATTGACCCATCATGGAAGGAAAGGCCCATTGTTAGCACTGTGATAACAGTGAACAAGATGCTTATATTGATGATCATTATGACGATGATGATGACACAGATGTAGACCCAGGCTTACTGACTCTGAGTCTCCATGGTCGTATGTGAATGTGATCATGTCATGGCCAAACTCCCCCTTTAATATTTGATGCAAATGGACTTTATTAGGGTGTGTACTTCAGTCATATTGTCCCACGACGGTTTGACCTGCTGACTGCCCGACACGTGCTAAAAAATTTTAATACATGAAATAGTTATCTGTGCAACCCCATCAATTTTAATACATGAAATAAATTGTGCGACACCATGTGGGCTCAAAGCAGTCAAGTAAATAGCTAGTTAGCTAAAGCAAACAAACAACTTGAAAACCAAATAAGGTCTTCCATGTATGTCCACTAGCCTATTACCTAGTCTGTTATTACACGCCTAGTTCAAATTTCACAGAAATGTGAGTTACGTAATGGCTTTGGTTAAGTAATTTATTTAGGCTTGGCCCCTTTTTGGAGATGTGGGTGGGATGTGACCTCCCACAGTTTAATTGTATATAGAGCGTTACTTCCTCACAACTGGGGCCCATAAACAAAGTTGACTGATAGCCTTGTACCTATTTTCTTTTATTACACAGACCTTTTACAAAACCGTACTATTAATATGTACCTACAGAATCTGTATCGCATGCCTGCAATTTAGTGTAATTCTAGACTATTATTGTTAAGTTCTCACTGTGCTGTTTTCGACTGAACCCTTCTAATTTAGACTCATAAGTAAGGACAAAGGACACAAAAATTTGCACGACGTGGCACTGCTTTTTCGAATTTCCTGAGAGGTCCTTCACATCAAATGCTGGCAGGTCTTCAACACAGCAATCGCACTCTAACAGAGACTCAGTTGTTAGGATGACAGCTCACACCAGAAAACGCAGTACCTTTGACTAACACTACATATTCTATTCTGAGGATGCTATATGTTTACTTACTGTAAGTATTATATTACAAATCTGATTTTTCCATCTCATAATTCATCGTATCCACAAAAAGGGGAAAAGTTCTATCACATTCGATTACATTCTATCGGCATTCCGTTATTCAAAGTATATCTTGAGCTAACAGATTTAATAAAATGAAAGGTCAATAATAATGATAATAATAATCACCATGATCACCATCACGGTGGAAGGAATACATCAGATGGCATATTTTCAGGTCAATTTGTAACTAAATGTCCACCTGTCTATGGGTCTCTAAGTGTAACACTTGCAGACGCGTGAAAAGCTGTTAACTGCTGTCTGGTGTGTCCCTCGCCCTGAATAATGTCAACCTCTGTTCATGTCACCTTTAAAGCCTCATGAACCCAGTGGGCAGATGCTGCCAAGAGGATGAATCCAGAGGTTAAAGCACTGCTTGGCTGACTTCCACCTGGCAGCGCACAGAGCTTAATAAGGCAAGAAAGTACTTTTATAAGTAAGGGGACACGACGATTAAAGAGTTTGAGCTCTGCCTGTCAGTGGGTGGGATAGGGCTGGGGGTGTCCCTCATGACCTTAACGATCCTGTGCCACCCTAAGCTGTGTATACAGTGAAGTCTTATGAAAGCTGCTTTGGGGAACATCCAGAGGGGAGAAGATATCTCCCAACCTTTGATTTAAATTCAGCCCTCACCGCCGCACGGGAGGTCCTGCTCTGAACATCTCTATCTTTCCTGTCTACCACAGCAGGACTAAAACTGGAAGAAATTTGGTTTACAAATGTGCCAGTCAGCAAGCACCTCTGAAAAGGACAGCCATTTGAGTTTGTGTGTGCAATTTGTGCATTAAAGACAGCTAAAAAAATGGCTTTTGATTGTGAGTGAGATTAAAACACAATAGGTGTGCATTTTCAGACATTAGCAGGGGATTAAAAACTGGTATTCATTTTCATTACGAAGATTGACCCATTCAGGAAATTAAAATGACTTTTTTTAAAACCAGAGGGGAGACATTTTTTACAAAGTTCTGCCTTAATTGCAAGTACATTAATTAATAAAGGTTGCATTATAATTTAAGCAAGAAATTTTATAGTGGAATGGAATGCAATTAATAAGACTCTACATTCAGATGTAATAATATCCTTTTGCTGGAAATATGAAGTGAATGTTTACCCATGTAGTGAAACTAGTTGCATTACATTTATATTTGTGAGTTAAAATCTCATAGCTTGGAGCTAGTTTAAAAGATATACATGCCTTATTTCTGCATTACTGAGTGAAAGCAGAGCGCCTACTGTAATTACCCCAAATCTGGGGCATTGTAATGTGTTCTCATTTACCATGCTTAAAGAAAAAACATACTTAAATATGGAATACAACCTGGTTGGGAACCCTTCACACAAAACATGCTTGCTGCAAGTGACAGTCACAAGTGACAGTTATACGTGACACAGCTTTGATTTGTCTTTCCTAATACTATTTCTATTAAATGTGAAGGTTTATTTTGATTAGCATGCTACTTTCCGAATCAAATAATATAAATCAACATTGTTTTCAGTTTTACAGCAGTGAAATATGAAAATTAATATGGAAATTATATATTAGTATGTTAAAACAAAATAACAACAACAACAACAATAAATAATAATAATAATAATGATGATAATGATAATAATAATGTGTATTATTTGTGGTTTTATTTTAGACAAGCTTTAAATGATTATATATCTTGGACTGAATGAATAATAAAATATTGTTATAAACCTGTCTGAGAGCACATTCTGGAAAATACTGCTTTAGCATAACATGACATGGCACTCATGTCAACAAGATTTCAAAGTGATGCTTTTCCCTTAGGAGACACAGTTTTTAGGAGGATAGTTCATTCTTCACAACATAAAGATATTTATGTATTACAGATCTCTGAATGTCACGCGTAGGGGTCATATGAGGATAACTGACTGTGCTGCTGAGACAGACAAGGCCTGTCTAAGGTAGCCTCTGTCTGCAGACAGGGTTACTCTTATCCTTCCAAGTTAATGACAACATCAACAATTTCAATTAGCAATAAAAGCTTAAATTACTGCTCTTCACCAATCAAACTGCTGGTAAACTTGCTTGAAATAAGGTTGAAATGATATTTTTTTTCTTTTGTGCCACAGCAAATGTCATGAGTTAATGTGTGCAGATGTGGGGAGGTAAGGGGATCAGAAAAAGAGTTACTCACCAAACATGTCTGATCTCTTGGTGCCACTGGTGCCGTTTGAGCCGTTTCCAATGCCGTTGAACGCCGCTCGGCGCTCTGTGCTGTACGCCCTCAGGACAGACAACATGTTCATCTGCTGCTCAAGATGGGTCTGGCCTGCTTGTGGCAGCCCAGTGGGGGCTCCATGAGATGAAAGGAGGCTAAGGCCTTGCCATCGCTTCTCCAGACGCGGAGGCTGGGGAGGCACCGGAGCCTCCAGTCTCGGGGCCACCTTCGGGTCAATCTCGCTGGACGCCTTCGCCAACTCCTCGGCCCCCCCGCCTTCCTCATCCTCCATCTTCTCCTCTTCCGGCTCATCCTCTGCTTCCTTAGACGACAGCGGCTCTGTGACGGGCTCCATACTGTCATCCGCCATTGCAAGTCTGTCATCTAGACACTCCTGCTCTGTGGACGTCTCCATATCGCCGAACGGAATCTCGTCAGACGATTTGTCGGACGGCTCCTCGGTGGGTGAGACACCCCCACTCAGACCAGCAGATTTCCGGCTCAGAGTCTCAGGAACCTGCATCTGTTGATCGAGTGACCCAGGGAACATGGGGCCAAATCCTTGGGGACCTTGACCTCGGGAAGTTTCATACATACTGAACTGCTTGTAGAAGTCATTCTGAAAGCCACTCATGATGGCGCTGTTCAAATGGTTAGCCTCCTTGATTCTTTCTTGCTGGATCATTTTATTTGCATGTGAGCCTTGCTTGGAGGAGATGGCCTCATTGCCAAGGTGACAAACAGCTGGAGCCAGCCTGGCTTTATTCACGGGGGAAAACTCGGCCGTTAGTTCCTTGCTTGTGACTTTCACATCCAAGGAACTGCTCTCCTTGTATTTGCCTTTCCCCAGGTGATTGGCCTGCAAATGGAGAACCATTTGCTCTACAGAGGAAGTTCTGAAGGAGCAAAACAAGCAGCCGTGCCACACCACGTTGTCTTGGATGGTGACGGAGGATCCTGGCAGGGATACTGAATCTGGCCTGACAGATAGATCTAGCGGTTCATACTGTGATTTCTCGGGTTTGCCTTTGGAAGGCCTGGCATCTGTTTTTTCCCCGCTATTCTCGCCTCTCTTGGCTTTCCCATCGCCGCTCTCATGGCTGAAATTCTGCTGCTGTTGCGCTGGCGGCTGGCTCTCCCTCATCTCCTTGTCCTTCTTCAAGGAAGTCAGAGCGAAGTTGTCCATGAAGGCCTGCAGGGCCCCTTGGAAGCTGCTTCCGTTTCCCAGCATGCCGTGGTAGGCCTGGCTGAGGTCGGAGAAGCTTGCCGGCCTGCTCGTTGGTAACCCATCTGAGATGTTCAGGTTCTCAGAGGGGTTTTCAGAAGGTCCTCTATGGCAGTCTTGTTCCTGGTCCTTTGGGGCCATAATCCCAGGAGGGGTCCACCGGTGGGGCAGTGCCGAGGCACCCCTGAAGTCCATGCTGCTGGCTGTGCCTTTAAAGACACTACGCAGGACATCTGGTCTGATAAAGAGGCTGTTCTTGCTTCCTGCCTGCTCCTCCTTGTGCTCAGGGGAGTGTCCGGATGACGGGCCTGCACCATTCTGTCTCTCCCTGTGGTGCCTCTCCAGATGATACTTCAGCGAGGCTGACTGTGTCCCAGCGTAGCTGCAGTGAGGACACCTGTATGGCTTCTCGCCTATTAGGGAGAACGTAAGAAACAGACAAACAAACAGGCAAATAAATAAACAGATAAACACAAAATTCCTCATAAGAGTGAACTTACACGAGTAAATCGCATTCTCATTCTAATACCAGCTGCATTGTTTTGTAGAAGAATTATACTACTGATGTAACAAGAAGAATCTAATATTTATCACTACTATCAAGTCCTATATTTTTCATTCAGCATATGCATATTCCTGTTATCTGACCTTTCAGTCTTATAACAGAGAAGATGGAAAAAAAAATGCCAAAGATAATTCTCAGATGCAGTAAATGTTATGTTTCAAACATGTTCAAGTGAAATGCCAATTTAAAACAGCTCTAAAATTAGAATCCTTCAGTTTATTAATCAATGCGGTTTATAGCAGGTGTAAAATCCCCAAATGAAATGGTAAAGAAAAAAATGGAGGTGAGACTGGGTGGAGGCAGGAACAGATGGTAAGTTAAATGGATGGTTATTCAGCAGGAACTGTATATATACAATTGAAACAAATATTGAATGGAAAAAATGCCTGCATTACCATATATAGCAAAAACTATTTTTATTTATATTCCATATATGTGTTTACATACACTGTACTATTATACACATGGAAACCATTTCAGCTTTGACTGAACGCTGCATTGTTACGCAAGACTGAACTGAATGATTCAAGTCTTGCTCTGCAGTAAATCATGGATATAATTAGCAAATGGCATACTGCTCAAGTAATTTATCATTATTTGGAGGGCACCATTCCAGAAAAAAGGAAGAAAAAAAGAAAAGATCTGCAGATCTACTGCATTGTTCCCAAATAAAGGCTCGCAGATACAAAATCAATATAATATTAACAGCAGAGAACTAGTCAGAGGTATAGCTGCGTTTAATAATGCTTCAGAAGAAACCAAGTGATAGGGTTTTAATATTCCGGGCTAATAATAAAGCTATTTGTGACAAGAACTATAAATATATGATCGATAAGTTTATTTTCATGTGTTTTTTTACAGGAGAAAAAGGGAATTTTTGAATCCTTATGGACTGCTTATAATATGATGGTTAAATATGTACATATCCATTGGCGGGTGGAAGTAGATTGATAAGACAATTTGCTCCATCATAAATCAAAACTTCTTTGGAATTACAGCCTTTATCTCATTTTTGCATACTTTACTATTAAAGATAATTAAGGATCTCTTGATCCACTTTTTACTGTCATCTCAACAAACACCCAAACCTAGACGAAAAGGATAAAAAGCATAATATATGTTTTTATTATAACATTGTATAATGGCGATTACTGTCCTTCAATACTGGGACATGACAGAGTCAACATATTTAATTTTTTATAAACCTTTGCAACTGCACTAAAAATGCATAAAGCCTGTTTCATTGATTATCTTTAAATCCACCCTTTGTCATTCAGGATATTGAATGAAGCTGCTACTACAAGCATTAAAGTCACATAGATGCACCGTAAAAAGTGGAAAGATTTCTACAGCTGCTTACTGCTAAACGGCACTTTGTCCAGAAGGGGACAATCTGTGTCTCTAATTGCTGTCACTGAAGCTTAGATTCATTATGTGACTTTCCCATTAAAATGTGAACATTAATTTGTATAATGAAATATCACCCACTACAGTGTTCATTAACTGTGGCTCACATTGTATACTGCACAGCGTTAGCAACCTAGAAACTGGAGTTCATTTAGTTAATGGATATTTTCCTACTCGGTGTTGGAGTGGAAATTAATACTGTAACATTAGCTCTTTAACTTTTAGAGAATTTTCTGTTCACGTTGTACCTTTCAACAAAATATTAGTGTGTCATTATTTTAGAATTTTATTTCATGCAGTAAGTGGTTTGAGTTACCATGTTTCTGTACTTGATGGAGATCTGCAGGTCTGCTTCATGTTGCTATAAATATACTTCTGTATCTTACTGTTTTTTATAAAACTGTGATCATCTGGATGGGGATAATTTTTATACTTGGAAACGTTTTTTGGGAACATTATAATGACAATAGCACCATAAAGTGGATGCAGCTGTTTATGCATCGTATCCCCTTATGCTACTCGATGCGCCGCATTGTGTCATCTGAAAATAAGACGATAAAATTAGATGCTGAACAGCTTCCATAATACTGAACTGTCCAGCTGTACTAGTAGCATTAGTAGCATTTTTGTAATTTTTTTTAGTAACAAACATTCTAATTGCAGTTGCTTTGACAAAGGCTTAAATGAACTGTATTCTAAATATCAGGGTAAAGATTCCTGATTATTTCAGGCTATTACAAGTTCCTGTGACACTGAATAGTCAGTTTTCCTTCAAAGCTGAAGTATGCGTTCATTATTTAGAGTTGTGGCTTGGGTGGTCTCCTTATTTAGCACATACTAAATCAGTGCCGCTTTCAGAGCTACAATAAATATTCTGTTTTGTGGGTTCAAGAAATCTCTCTCTCCTTAAATGTGTACTGAACACTGTGGTTGAAAACCTGGGCTTAAACTTTCTTTGACAAAGGAGTCTGATCCAAATTGTGTACAAAATCTTGAGGGGAACCAGTTGAAATATGACAAAAGAATTCTTTAGACAACGGACAGAAGGACCGGTGGGGAAGCCGTGAGAAGCCTGAGTGGTTTCCACATGCTTGCTGTTTCTGAAACATTTGAAATCCTGGGAGGGACAGTACTGATTTAGCACTGTGCAAGGTGCTGTGTAAACCATCTAAGGGTTTGCTTAGCAACTGCAAATGTAAATACCCAAATCAGAGCTTGGTGGTTACCGATTCCTACTGAGGTCATAAATAGATGTATCGATTAATATTTTATTTACCACAGTTCAGGTGATTAAATATCACTGCTTACTTTATCAACTAAAAGATTTCCCTTTAGTAAAAAACAAGTTAACAAATGTGGTTAAATTGTTGACATGGAATACTTTAAAAAAAATAATGCCTCAATACAATATTTTACACAAACAATAATAGTAACATTTCAGCTTTAGGTAAAGAACTGTTCTGTTTATTTGTATTTGTTAATAAGACGTCTTTAGTGTAGGATTTCAACCTGTGATTGGGAGTATAAATAAAAGTCAGATAGTGGATTGTTCCGTTGTTACTAAAATGAGACATTTTGCATTCTTTTGCTGAGCCAAAGCACTTCAGGACAAAGCAAAACCTTGCAAAAAAAAAACAGGTTTCCATTTCAAGGAAAAGGCCTGTCACTGTACCCCAGAGTAGGCCACTCGCTGTAACCTGAACACCTTCAGCAAAGATCATCTGTACAAAAGAAAAATGGATGAAAATTGTGAGCTTTGACAGTTGTTTGAAATGAAATATAATGTGACTTTTTATGTGATAGATTGGCATCCTGTCCAGGGGGATCCCCGGCAACTCGACGCCTTTTTCCAGGGATATTCTCTAAGCTTAGTATAACCCTGTACTGGATAAGTGATTGGATGGGTGAACCAGCCTATGCCAACTACTATATAATGAGCTACATAATGTGCAAAAGAATGGGAAGTTATTCTGGCCCATTAGGCCCGGGCAGCCGCTATGCACCGTACCTGTGTGTATCCTCAAGTGGACCTTCAGGTGGTGAGATGTCCGAAATGTCTTTCCACAGTAGGGGCAGTCCTTTGTGGCCGACGCAGGCACCCTCTCCCTGTGCTGGGTAGGGGGCGGAGCAAATCCCACCTGCCTTACCGACTCGTCTCCGGCGTCTACGGAGAGACAACACACACACACTTCACTCGACAGGTTTTCACCGGAGCCAGTGATCGCAAAGCACGGTGCATCTTCTGCATGTCACCCCCATTTTACTGCCTGTTTCAACCTGACAGATTTCTGACTGTTTCTATCCCTTTTATGAGTCTTGTGTTTCATTTTTCCCCAACCGACCCAAAGCACTCTCATCTGAATCCTTCACCCCCAGTATTATCATTCTCTGGTGGGCTATGATGGATTGTGTTAAAACGAACAATACAAGAAAAAAATAGTAGCTAAGTCAACAGGGTTTATTGCTTGTTGTAGCTCCTGACTTACTGTAGGTGACGCCTCCTTATAAGGAGGTAAACTGGGAATCACTTTTGCTAGACTACATCATATTTGCATTTATGCCAACTCCAGGTAACCAACAAATACAATTTGCCAACTATAACTATAAAGACTGGTCTGCGAGTGAACCATTAAAAGCTGTACTTAAATGTATAATGTACAGTACGGTAAACCAAGCAAAAGTTACAGTACACCATCTCCGCTTCCAGTAGATGAACAGAAATCTACTGTACCTGGTGATAGCAAGAATCCTTCTTTGGCTTAATTCATGTGAATAATTCAGGCTTTTTAATAACACTGTTCCAATTACTGCAAAAGTCATACGGCCTCACATAACCACAAATATCGACGGTTTATTGCACGGGACATTTATGGTATTTGAAGGTTACCGTTCACATTGTGGAGATGTGTGTATTTGCCTGTGTGTGTGTTAGAGATGTAAGAAACAAATTACATTATATGTACCACAAAACCTGCAATCGCACACAAATATACTGACAGAAGCATATATATATATACAGTATATACATACATGTATACCTGCACATAATACAGTGTATTGTAGCATCGCAGAACAAAGGCAAAATGTCACATAGCAGTCATGTAAATGAGTGACAGTTCATCAGTTATTCCAGCTGCTGTCTAATGCTGTATCCATCCCACAAAGAGTAAAGCGTGAGCAACACTTCAGAGATGCAGGCATCTCTGACGCACTCCCCCGGCATGCATGTGAGTCCGTGTGAGAGGCTGGAATTCTGTTCGAAAGCCTGTGTGATGAAGCGAGTCAGAAAACCACTCAGCTTGCCTTGCGAGAGGCTGTGAGAGGTGTGTTTTCGCAATATGGCGCATGTGCTCACATGGTAAAGTGTGCGTTTGTGAGTCTGATCAAAGTGTGAGCGTGCACTCCCATCTTAAACAGGAAAAAAAGAGTAAAAAAAACAAACTACAGCATACGCTTTTGTTGAACCACTCAAGTTAGACCACACCCTGTTTCCAAAAATAAAGAAAAAAAAACACAATCCATTTACTGTGCCCTTGAAATGACACTTCTGAGCATAATTATTAAATGATTATGATTACTGATATGTGACAAGCCAAGAATACAGGGAAGCAGAAAGACGAAAAAAATATCCTAAAAAGGGTTTAATTTTGACAAGCCACTGACCTCTTCTCTTTGTGAAAACCAGGCAAAAGGAACAAAATAAAAGTGTTTAGCATAGCAAGGGAGAGTATAAAATTTGACTACACTACTGACGATACATTAGCGTTTAAAAAGAGGTGGGGGAGGAGTCACATCCTTAATAAATATCAGTATAATAGCATCCGGCGAATACACTGCTCTGTTCTTTATTTGGATGGGTGCCATCTTTGTAAACGCCAGGCCCATGCATGTTAATAAATCTGCGGTTTACATACGTCGCTGAAACATGCATGATATAGGCTGTTAGTGAGGAATCTGAAACTCGCAGTATTTAGTAACCGCATGCCAATTAACAACAAACAAGGCTGCATTACTGCTGCTTTTATTACCTGACAAGCACGACTTCATGAATTTTTAAATTAACATTATTTGCGACACACCTTAGGTAACCAGGTACAGAAAGAAACGTTGAGGCACTCTGACCAGCGCACGCATCAGCTGGTATCGCAGCAACAGCCACATAATCATTTCTGGATATTATGTCAAAATAAAAGAACATACAAATACAAACAAAGTGCAACCCCTCCCCCATTAAATTTCTGTCACGTACTGTATCATACGTTTGCCCGGACAGGGCATTTTTTCTGACCTATGTGTCAAAAATATAAATAAATAAAATGTTTACTACACAATGTTTGCAAGATGAAACAGCCGCAAAATGTGTTACATATAAGGCTTGTGAGTAAACAGGGGCACCAGATGTTCTTTGATGTTAATAATGGCATTTATTATTAATATTAATTAGACTGCATTCAGCAATACATTTGGGCCATTTCCAAGTCAATTAAGCGAAATGGCATTCGGGAGATGTTGGGAACGACATTTTAAAGGCAGGTGTTCATCAGTCCCCTAATAAAACATTTTCACAGCTACAGGAAAACAACAATTTTGAGCAATTTTCTGTTGTCTATAGCAGAGCTACAGAACCTTGCACAAACTATATACATATAGAGATATATAAATGTATATAGGATGCACAGATAAATATACAGAATAAAGATAAATCTTTACATGGCACAGCATAAATCCATACATAGACTGAAGTTATATAGCGTATTTTTTCAAGGTTGAGTAGTGTGTCTGAAAAGTAAACAACTACAGGTTTAACTCACAAAGATTTCGTTTCAATGCAAATCTTCAGCAGAGCTCTGCTTTCAGCTTCACCTACTCCACATTTAACAACTGATAGGGGATAAATAATGTATGTACTGTAGTTCATTATAACACCTGACATGCCGACACCTGCAATGCATGGATCAGCAGTATGTTTTATGAATGCATCTGGGGCATCAAAATTGTTGTTTGCGTTATATGCAGGTCACTACAAATGCAATGAGCATATTAAGAAGAATGACTGGATGCTTAGCTGTGGGTTAGCAACTCAGCTACGCGGAGCTACCAGCCCTGTTCAGCTTCCCAGCCAGAAACAGTGCCATAAGTCTTTTTTTTGGCTGGAGTCCATCTTTGTTTTCTTTGTGAAGTCTGTTTCAACCCTTTCAAAAAAAGGTAAAGAAGCACTGAGCTCTTATTAATTTTATTATTATGCTGCCTGATCACAGTTGCTGATTAAAAAAATAGTTTGTGACTTGGATGATAATGGAGATGCCTGTTTATATGAGAGAGACAGAGAACAATTAGGTTTTATAGGCTTGATCTGCTGGGACATTGAATCTTTAGGATGTAAAGAATGGGATGTTATTTAGCGTAAATATTCACCCCCCCCCCCCTTCCCCCTTGGCAAGACCTGATTGTTTATCATTAGCTAAGGCCGGGTAGTTTCAGTCTTGTCTTGGGAGGGATATCCATGAATTAATTTTACAGGGATGTAGAAGTGAGTGAGTGTGAGTGAGAGAGAGAGAGAAAGAGAGGGAGGGAGAGAGAGGGAGAGAAGCTGTTTATTTCACTCAAAAACAAAGGTAAAATGCAAAAGAGAACATTAATCTTTCCACAAATGACTGAGTCATAGTTTAGCATGTATAACCCGCAGAGCAAACATCATAGGAATAACTCATGATCTCATTTTGAAGTTTATACCTTGTCTAACCGCTGAAGAAAAAAGCCACTCGAGGCTAACATCGGTTTTCCACTATATTAGATTAACACCTATTTTTAATAATGTCACCTGATCTGTAAGATGTATTTAAGGTTTCAAGCTTTTGAGCATTGTGAAAAAGGTAAAATATAACAAAAGAAACACATGGAAAAAATAAATGCAAATTTTAATAATAATGTACAGTGTAAACTTAGATGGTATATACTGTATACCTACAGTATAATCAATATTTTAAAGAATACCACTTTCTATGTTTTGACATTTTAATGATAGTATGATAGGTATTAGTATTGTAACTATGCAAACATGCAAGAATGGTAGTGCTATCATAATAAAATAGCCTTTATCTCAAAAAGGATAAAACATAACCAGATATGGCCCCTGACTGTCAAGCCCATCTTCTCTCCCAACCTACATTTCTCATGTATATGCAAGCCTGAACAGAAGGATGTGTCACTGTACGCGTATTCCTATTAAAATGAACATACCCCTCCCCTGCCTGAATGTTAATTTGTTATGAAGGTCATTGACAGAGAAAAATAATCACCATTAGGGATCTAACAATTTGCCATTTCAGAACATCTCTGCGCTGATGACTCAACTATTAATAGACCCCATCTTATATGACTAAAAACTATTCTGGTATTTTCACAAAAAAAAAAAAAAATCCCGTATGTCTTCTGTTACATGTCACATCTTTTATCTCTGAAGATCTTTGACATTTAGCACAAATTAATGGGACCCGAAACCCAAAATAAATTTACATCATGACTAGATATTGGAAAATTAAATACTCATGATTCAGCTTGAACTGTGACATCCTTGTGTTCCCATTATATTTATTGACGATATTTTCACATTTCACTTAAAAGGATGTGTCTGAAAATAAGGAAAAAAGTTAAATACCTCTGTATGCTTCTATATCAACAAAAACTGGTATTTATCTATGTATACTTCATTAAAGCAATGTATGACCACGCATCCCATGCATAGCGTACCGATGCCCTGTGTCATCTGGGGTAGGGTCTATGCCCCCCCATCACCTTCACTGGAATAAGATATGGATGGATGGATGGATAACATTTTCAAGGGATCATAATGCCATATGTATTGGTAATTGTTAGGTAAACAATCTATCAAAGCATCACTTTTTTTTATAGTCATAAAGTATATGTTGTGTATCTGTTATTGTTATAATTAATTTAGTATATTTATTATTATTGTTATAATATATTCAAAAGCTTAAATTCTGCAGGTGCACAAATTTATTAAATTCCAAAAAAAAAAACAATTACAGTGTGAAGCAATGATACTCTAAGTGCTGTTACTGCTTCAAAAAAGGGAGGCGGTACAAGATTGAAGTGAGCAGATGCTTAGTAGTTACGGTTGTGCTGTATACAATATTACGATAA